AGATATAAAATATGTTCGACTAATTTTACTATGTACATTATTAATATTTTTTATTGTGGTAAATATTAATCAGAGAAGATCTTATAAAATTCTTCCAACACCATATTATCCCACGATTACCATGATTTTCAGAGTAAATTCTAAGAGAAAATTCTCTCCGTGTGAGACAATAATATTGGGAGAATTTTATAAAAGATTAAATACCACAATAAAAAAATATTTATACGTACATAGTAAATTTTGCTATTACATAGTACAATTAATCAAACACATTTTATATCTCATTGCGCTAAATATTACATATATACATATATTATCCTACGATTACCGTGACTTTCAGGGTAAATTCTGAGAGAATTCTCTCCGTGTGAAATTTCGATTCGAGACTCATTGTTATATATTTAATCTGAAAAAAATGCGGCAGATACAGGAAATATAACATATTTATTTTTCGCAACTATTGAAATATATTAAAGAGAGAAACGAGCTATATATCGCTTATCTTCCTCCACAAATACAAAGAATTCGCGGATAAAGTCTGTATACGCGCATGCACACGTATAACAAACATATACATATACGGTTGATATACGGTGCATGCCTGCCGGTGTGATTGACATTACTAAGTATGCCATGGCCGACCGCTCACAGCTTGTGCTGGTACGAACGACTGCAGCGACTACCCACACTGCCTCGAATACAGCTCCATCCTTCTAGGACGCTTAGGAAAATTCTCGGAAAATCCTGTCAGCGAGTTTCCGCCTGTCGATGGAGAATCGATTCCTCGTCGTTATGTCGATATCAACAATAATGACAACTGTTTCGCGAAATCTCGAAATTTTGCGCCGTTTTCCCCATTCATTCCCTCATAAATTTCAATGCTCGGATCGCTATTGTCATAACTCTGATGATTTCAGTTTTATGACACGTAATAATGACTCGTATGTTTATTTGTGACAATAAAAAAAAGTTAATCAAATGTTGCAATGTGTGTTTCTTTTTCTTTAACATATTATAAAATAATATATTAAACACATTAACTCTATATTTGAAGGAAAAGATATGACGAATAGCTAGAATAGAGAATAAAATTTTTACTTAACACAGTGAAAAAAATAGATGTTATATACTTGTGACAAGACAGTCTAAGGACAAATAAAGAAATAGTAAAAATAGTAATATTTCATCAATCACAATAAAATATAAAATATATTCGATGAATTTTAGTATGTACATAGTAAAATTTACTATGTACATATTAATATTTTTTATTGTGATAAATATTAATCAGAGAAATTCTTATAAAATTTTTCCAATACCATATTGTCCATGATTATCATGATTTTCAGGGTAAATTCTAAGAGAAAATTATCTCCGTGTATCATTTACATATATATGTTCAGGAAATATTCTAATGAATTAGACTAAAAATGACCCGAGGAATAAAATCTAACTGATATTGACTGAAGCCCGAGGCCACTTGGAGCAAAATGAAATAGATTGATCAATCTTGTATATATCAGGAGGATAATTTTTTGAAGAATCTTTTTGAAATATTGTAACAATAGATGGACAAAAATATTTAACAGATTCTGCACATTTTGCGCGTTAAAGTTTCATAATATCATGCTGGAAACAGGTTTCGGCGAAAGTCCTTGAAAAATAATTATCTCCTTGAATAATTATTAGTTTTTCATATTTATGTAACAGATAGCGTATAAGACATCTGCAGTACTCATTAAAATGATGCTTATAGGCATGATTTTGCGCCTCTGTTTTGTAAACTAAAGTGTATTTTAAATTGTCAACAAAATTAAAATAAAAATCTTAATGCACTTTTATCAGTAATAATGAAAAAATACTCGATGTTAAAATTTATCGATATAAAATTTTACGGGCATCTTCTACATCTGATAATCACTAGTTTCATTCATATTAAAAAAAAAATTGAAACGAGTCACTTATTTTTAAAAGAATAAAATATTTTAACTTCTCTCTTAATTATAATTTCTTACAATTTTTCTTTTCCCCAAATAAAAAAATACATAATTGCTACCTGATCGGTTCGCATGTATAAAGATCCCCTTAGAGAATTTGGTTGGGCCATCACATGATACCGAAGCCGGCATATTCACACGAATTGCACAGCAATAAAGACCCGCGTGCGTGTGACGTAATGTAACCCTGTTCCTCGAAGGACACGGTTTTCACCGAGTTCGATCTTCCTGTATGATGGTATCGTTTCGCCAAAAACCGGTATCTGCGCACGGCCGATGCAGCGCGAGGAAGAGTAGCCGAAGAGAGGAAAAAAGATAATATTTATTATACTCTCTCTGAAATTATGAATCTTTGACGCAAAATTATTATAAATTAAATTATACGTCAATTATTAAAAACCATATATTTACAAATAACTTCATAAATAATATGAACAAAATCAGAGAATTAGATTTGAGAGAAATATAACAATAGCTAAAAGGTAAAATGCATATTTCCTTTTCTTTTAATTTTCACGATATATATATATAAATATTAATATGTACATAGTAAATTTTACTATGTATTTTAAAATATTTTATTCTTTTAAAAATAAATGACTCGTTTCAATTTTTTTATAATATGAATGAAACTAGTAATTATCAGATAGAAGATGCCTGTAAAATTTTAGATCAATAAATTTACTATATGTACATACTAAAATTTACTATGTATATAGTAAGATTCATTGAACATATTTTATATTTTATTGTGGAAAATATTAATCAGTTAATCAAAATATGTTCAATGAATCTTACTTAAAATACAGAGTAAAAAATATTTTAAAATACATAGTAAAATTTACTATGTACATATTAATATTTTTTATTGCGATAAATATTAATCAGAGAAATTCTTATTTCTTAAAATTCTTCCAATACCATATTGTCCATGATTGTCATGATTTTCAGGGTAAATTCTAAGAGAAAATTCTCTCCGTGTATTAGGAACATCATGTTGATAAAGTCGGATAAGAAAAATCTGACAATTAACAATATGTAAGGAGCGATTTCTCGGTGTTGGCGATGACGAGATAGCGCAAGGTCCTGCTCTTTTACTTTTACTTTCAAAGAAGTATCCGTCTGTCCATTCATTTAGGTCGCCACCGCCGGCTCCTGTCTCCAGCCTTTGCCGAGGGCAAGCCCGAAACTTTCATCGGAGACTTTCGTTACTTTCTTATTATCGGATAAAAGTGAAACACCCGACGCGACGATCCGGCTACACGTGTCTTCTCTTTCACTCCGTCTCTCGGAGTCGCGATGGACCCATCTTCCGCGAGGATGAGGACACTCACTGCATGGTTGATTATCGCGTAAGAGTCGTGCCATCGAGAGTGAAATCGCAATACGAAAAAATTGATTCGAAAGTCGCGAACTCGTTATCCCCATATTTGGAATTTTATTCTTTATATATACCCAGGATTTTTTTGGCCCGTGTAATCATATGGCGAGAAAAAATAATTTACATATACTTATTTTTCGAGTCAACTATATGCATAGTAAGGGATCATTATTATTATACTACACAGAGAAAATTTTCTCTTAGAATTTACACTGAAAATCATGGTAATCGTGGACAATATGGTATTGGAAGAATTTTATAAGAATTTCTCTGATTAATATTTACCACAATAAAAATAATAATATCTAGCACAATAAAATATTAAATATGTTCGATGAATTTTACTATGTACGTGTGACATTATAATAACTGTAACAATAGGAATTTTTTACTATACCATTATAGTAAAAATTATCGCAACCTCTTATAGTCTGTGAGTACAATATATGAAATATAGATATTTAGATAATATTCGAATAATTGAAATAAATTAAAAAAATAAACTGTCGATGATCGACTCAAATTTTTCAAACATACGCAAATTCTCAATTTCGATTTTATAAGGCATGCTTTCTATGCATACTGAAAGATCACGATGACATGAAAAGGGTGTAAGGATATAAGTCTATATCGATCGATGATTTCACATAGAGTCATGATTGTAAAATTACCGGTTTCTCGGCACAACTTCATCTTTGCGAAAATTTTATCTCGTTCTAGCATCCTTGACCTTCGTTCTTTTCAGATGTTTTCAATAACGTATAAATTTGTCGTCGGACTATGTTCTTTTCATTCATCATTTGATGTAAAAAACAATAATCGCCATCGTATAGAAAACATCATTTACTGTTTTCGTGCAATTTTCGTTGACATCATTTGATTAAAAATAAAAAACAAAATATTTTGTCTGCCCTGCAGAATCTACTTCTATTTTGTTATTCATATTATACATTATTATATGATATTATTCTAATATATTAAACTATTAAAAAATGTTATCGCAATATGAAGTCATCATAAACAAATAATTTTAATATTTCTTTTCAATAATATATTTAAGATAATAAGAAACATAATTCTTTAAATAATCTTGTCACTTGGACTCTAAATCTTCCTCAATGTTTAATTGACCGATTTATATCGCGTCCTCTTAAACATATCCTTTTAAACACACTCGACATGATTCATGGAGCATCCCACAATAAGAGAAAGTCTCTATACACAAATCCAAGTATTTTTCCCCGCTTAAATCCCATTAACGTCAGCATAATCTTACCAAAAATTAATCTAACCGTCGACTATTTTACGATCAAAAATTTTGACTCTCCTCATTGTCACCGGCGAAACAAAATTTCGAAAAACTTTTCCGAGATCGCCTCTCCCGAAGGATAGTACCGGTCATACGTTTCTCGTTTATCGCGAAGAGAGCGCTCGAGAGAGTGAAAGTTCCCGGTGTACACACGCACTCACGCACGCGTGTCGATTTTTTGGCATTGGGCGTTGGGATTGGAGGGCCTCGGTTGGTATCGAGGTCACCGGTGCCACCACTACCGAACCACGGCGGCGGATCCAAGACTTTGGAGAATCGACCAGCTGCCCCAAAAAGTTTGGGCCACGCGACGCGTTCACATCGCGCTCCTTCGCGCTGTCCACTTCCGGGCCTGCGAGATCCCTCTGTCACGTGGTTCTTCGTGATCGGAATCTTTAAACGGTTCGACCACACCGAGTTGACCATCGTCGTCTCGATTGGTTCGATATAAATCGATTGTTAGTGAGCGTCGTCTAGGTTTCGTTAATTCCGTCACGTCGGAGTGTGTTGAAGGGAAAGAAAAAATTCGACGAACATGCGTAGAATGGTACGATTGATTGTTTTGTTGGCGAGTTCCCGCTGTGTAAATCCTTGAACAAGGAAGTCGAGAATGCCGCGTGGATCGTAGATTGGTGCGTGACCGTGGTTGGAGAGTTGGCACGAGGCATCGTCTTGTGCCTAGGGAATTCCTACAGTTCGCTCGACTTTGCTCTGAATCACCGCGACAATATCATGTGCGCGAAGATGAGCGTCCTTCAAGGTCGGCACTCCTCCATGTGCACGAAGATGAGTGTTCTCCAAGGTAGGATTAGTTATTGTTCTTACCAATTATCGTGATTCTGGCTCGCAAGAGCGATTCACGGTTTTGTCAAACATTCTTGCTCGAGGAAAATTAAATTGTTTTTCATACGAAAACTCTGAAATTTACTCCGAATATTCGATATGTTACATCGGTGCGTTAAACTGCAGTTAAACACAAGTGAATTTTTTCAAAGAAAATTTGTTTTACAGAAAGATATATTGTTTACATATATACGAGAAGTTTATACATAACCATACCGACTATTTAATATACTTCACAGGAACATTCGAGCGTGTAACATTACCAGTATAGTCATTAACTGCATATATATATATATATATATATATATATATATATATATATATATATATATCAGATTACGTCATAAAACACATCAGTGAAACAAAACTTTCTATAATGAAATTTGAACTACCGAACAAATTTGATCGATTTCTATAACAAAATTTATCGCAACTTTGAATATTTGACATTTGTTAAAATGCGATATATATCGTATTATATTCACCATATTATCTTTTTTATTCGGATAGATATTTCGCTATATATATACACATATATATACACACTAAATATCAAATAATTATAGTTTAATATTTATACATTGAATAGTATAACTTAATGAATAGTACAACTGGTGAGATAATCGTAGTGAATATCGTCAAAAAAGGCAAAAAAAATATAAAATAAATTTTTTCATTAGTTGCTTGATTTCTTCGCGAAAAATAATTTTTAATGTGGAAATAACACATGCGCATCTAAAAAGACAGCGAGTTTAATTTGTGTCGATTCGAGTACAGCTTTTTGAAACAATTATCATTTAATGCCACAAATTTCTAACAATATGAATCACTGATTAGTGTCTATATATATTTTATTATCTATTTATACTTTGATTAGTTTATTTATACTTTGAAGAAATCAATTAAAGTTAAACAAACGATAACAGTACTTGATTTAATAACACATACTTTATGACAAATACATACGCAGATACGTAGAATAAAATAGATTTATATTATTTTCACTCAAAATCGTTTGTCTCAAAAACATTACTACAAAATCAATTTAAAAAATTCATTGCATTTTTTCATGAAATTATCTGACCAATTGTAATCACGATTTATTGAACATTCTGTGCAATAATTACTATTACACGTATTTCTTTTAATCAATAATGTAAAATGAATATTGTTTCCGACTTTTTAAAATTCGTTAAAGCGCATTTCATAAAATGCAATAGGTTACGGTGTTTCTCTATTCATATATACGATATATAGAATAATATGATGAATTTATATCAAATATTATATTATATGTATAAATTTTTTTATATTACGTAAAATTTTTTTACAAGAAAGAACAATCGCTTCTCTGGCTTGTGCTTGAATTGCACAAATTCTTGGCTCTCCGTTCAAAAGATGAGTCTCCTTACACAGTAAAAAATTTGTGTTTTCTTGTTAAAAACGGTCCCCGTTAAAATTTTTGTGTTAAATATTTAAGACATTCGTGTGTTAATTTAATATATTACTGTTCTGTTAATTGAACTTAAATGTTAACTTATTGAAAGAACTAAAAAAAATGTGTATCTATTTTTAATTTTGCACAATAAATATGTTCTGCTTTATTAGTGACAAGATTTTTCTGCTAAAATTTACAGAAAAATGTTAATTTTTTATTTTACAATATAAGTGGAGATGATAACATCTAAAATTAAACATATTTTTGTTAATTTTTACATTAAAAGTAGTATGTTACTTTTACACAAAATTTATTTTAAATTATTTGAAGTTTTGCATTTATTTTGTGTTAAAATATTAACACAATATTTGTGTCTCCATTTAACATATTCATATTATGTTAAATTAACAGAAAAATTTCTGTGGACCGTTTGGGACATGCGTGATATTTGTTAAATTTAACAGAAATTTTTCAACTGTATATATATATATATATATATATATATATATATATATATATATAGATGATTGCGACGATGATTTCTCATTAGCAATCTTAGTTATCTGTTATTTGCGCGAAACTGTTTTAAGTACGAAGTAGAAAGCCCAGAGGTAACGAGACGAGTTCTATCGGGCTGGGAATTGATTTTCGAGGTGCAACGAGGTGTCAGTTCGTCGGGTCAATAACATCGCGACACGATTTCACAATTGCACGCTTCGCTAATTGCAAATCACAATTGCGTCGGTCCGCGCCATTTGTGTTGGCTTGCGGTGTCGATGCGAAAAAAAAAGCGTTCCAACGCTATCTTTGGCGACAAGGGGCAACCGACAAAATATACATCGGCATCGACAAAATATATCGGGGTACGTGTATTAATCGCGCGAATCCACATCGGCACGGAAATCTCATTTGTCTCTCGTCTCTCTCGCGTTTCGCGCTAAATCGAGAGTGTCCTCGCGCGCGCCGCGAAAATATCTCGCGGTTATTCCCCAACGGAGAGATGCCGGAACGCAAAAGTGATGTGTGTGCGACTGATTCTCTCCCCTAGATATATATATATATATATATATATATATATATATATATATCGCGCGCGAGAAACGATATCCAATAAATATTAATCCCTGCATCCGTTCGGCCGTGAGGGCCGATATACGATTTTATTCGATCCGCGCGACATATTCCGAATCCGGAGGAAACAAGAGAAATCAATCTGTTCTGCCTCAAAGCGTACCCATCTTCGCCGCGATTTCTCCAATAGATTATTACACATGATCGCTATCGCCAATATGTTGCGCAAGCAATTTCGCTGAGGTTGGTGGGAAACGTCGCGCGGACGTTTACTCCAGATTGCGACAGAGCGCGACTACGCGGATTTGGCTGAGAAGGAAAGAAATTCATACATGGCTTTTTTCGAAAGAGAGAGAGAGAGAGAGAGAGAGAGAGAGAAAGGAAGAGATAAAAAATGAGAAACATGAGAGAATATTTAATTGTTCCGATCGTAAAGATAATTTTTTTCTGAACCGTGCAAGGCTATATACGCCTTTCGCCAAAAGTTCAAGGAGGCAAACGACCATGATTTCTTATTATAAATTTAATTTAAAATTTATTAATGAATTATCTTGTGCATTCCAAATCTAAAAAAAAATTTTTTTTCGTAATAAAAAATTTCAATATATCTATGTCAGAATTCTAAGTCAAGTTTTAGATCCAAATTATTAAAAAATATATTTATATTTTTTATATCATATTATATGTAAAAACTTAATTAATATTTAAATATATAAATATTTTATATTATATAAAAAATATGATTTTTTAATCTATATTTTAATATTCAAGAAAGAAATTTCAATATATCTTTGTCAGAATTCTAAGCCAAGTTTTAAATCTATATTATTAAAAAATATAATATATATATTTATATTTATATTTTTTCATACAATATTATATTTAAAAACTTAATTAATATTTAAATATGTAAATATTTTATATTATATATAAAAATATGATTCTGTTATCTATTTATTTAATATTCAAGAGATAGGAAGATTCGGCAATTTTTTATATTCGGTATATGTGTATAAAAGAGGAATCCTATTAGAGATCACTCTCGATTATCGGCAATCTTTCTTCGTTTTACCGAAACCAATAAGTCTCGCGAGCAAAATCCGACCCTGGGGGACTCGATTCTGCATTGTGTCGTAACGCGCGTGGCATCGCGGACTTCGCGTGCACTTTCGCGCGTGGCAGAAAACCGCGATTTTTCACGAACGCCAACGAGGCTGTTTGTCGACGTCGTTGCCGTTTCCTGCTTTGTCGTAACTGCCGTCATTGACAGATGCGCCCCGCAGCGTGTTGCAATCCGTGCATCGCGTCGATCCGACAAAATTGCGCTTTGTTCGCATGCCGCGAGTACGCGAGTAGCCATCGTCGTCGACGGAAATAAATCACAACTCGATAGGAATGCATCTAGAAGTCCTCGTATACAAGCTAGCGACTTGTTTTGTTTTTTTTTTAAGCTTCATACTTATGATGAAAAATTCATCCTGCTTGATGCTTTATAAGTATCAAGTTAAATGAACGCAGGAACGTGTTAAAAAATTTAGTTAACGCAATTGTATTATATACTAGTTTCATATTCGAGTATATTAGATATATGCGCTGAGTCGAAAAAATTTTGCATACGTGTGTAAATATGATACTACGATGTATAATATCTTACATACTCTAAAATGTAGAAATATAAAACGGTTCTCATAACAAAACAGAGATCTAATTGCGCTACAGAACAGCAAAAATATTTTCTCTACAATAAATTTGGTAATATTTAGCATAAAAAGGTGTTAAACTGTATACTAAATATTATAAATTTTTGCTATATTAATTCATTTAAAAAAGATATAGTTATATTTCTTGAGTAATAAAATTATTAAATTAATATATAATCATTATGTTGAATATTGCGAAATTTGCAATAATTTAGTTTCCTAATCAATTTCCTAATTTGAATATTTTTCATAATTTTAATTTTTCTTTTAGAATATAGGTACATCTTTAAAATTTGCGACTCTGATGATATTTTAATTTACGTTGTCAAATCGATGAGTGAAAATTTCATGCTAGATTATCATCGCACTGCTCTTTAAACTTTAAATTCTTTATGCTTTAAAAAGACTAGCGCAGCGCAAAATTCGAAGAAAGTCGGAAAGTGATTGAGCGAGTAAAAGAGAGGCAAGTAAAATCGTGCTGCTTCCGCGACTTCCGTAATGTTGAATCGGCGAACCGTATCGCATTCTAACCGATTCGATCGACATTGATCTCTAGGATTCTCAATTTGTTATCCGTTAAATGCTGAGAAAAAGTTGCCCAAGATAATAATGCTTAAAGTTATAAATATTAAATTCAAACCAGTATTTATTTCAATATACTGTCACATAAATAATTTATTTGAAACTAATAATATTGATTTGATGTAAAAAATATTTGTTTAAGTTTATGAAAGGCATTAAATTAAAAAT